ATTTTAGCCGTTGTTGTTCGTTGCTGGCAGCCAAGTTTATTATGAAATTAGAACGCATGGTCGGGATTGGCCAAAGGGGCGGAGTGGAGGGGTTTAAGGGGGCTACAAGGGGGTGCAAACGATGGGCCAAAGGGGGGTCTCAAAGAAGGCTGTACGATACAAACAGGCACTGCGCTGCATTGCAGTCAAAAAAAAACTGGCACATGACATATGAACTGAGGCCCGACATTGTTGCTGTTATGTTGTCGCTTTGTTGTTATAGTTATTAAATTATATACTCAGCCTATAACAAAATCAACAGCATTGCAAGACTTAGGAGCGGCCAATTGAAGGGAAATGGGAAATGTGCAGAGGCGAGAATGTTTGCCGATTATTGCCAAGGGAGATATACGTACATGAATGCGAAAATTGACGACAGACGCATGGGTTGGGATTTGAATATTGCGCAGATGAAACAACCATGAAAAAGATAGCAAAAAAAATTAAAAAACATTTTAGCGACAACTTGCAATGAACCGATATATGTAAGGATACAAATTGCTATTATACAAATTCTAAGTTAAAAATAATTTCTATATTTAAGCAAATAAAAAAAATCTTACAGACAAATTATAAAATAAGGAAGCAAAATGCATAATGATCGCAATATCATTTGAACTAAAATTGCATAAAATAAATTACTTATAATCTATGCAATTAAATTCATACCAGTTCTTTAGGGTAAATAAAAGGCACACTCCATTAACATGAGATTTTAATACTTGATTGCAGCAATACAAATAAACTATACTTAAGTCAATAAACTACATTGCTGCAGCCAAATCAATCTTAGCCTTTTAATTATTGTGTGCAAGCATCGTTAACATTTTCAATTCATTGTGTGTGCCGTGCTCAGAAATACATTTATGGCCTCAATAATTTGCACAATAGGCGGAGTTATTCGCACAGCGAGGGAACGAGGAGAGTCATATAATTAGAGCTGGCAATTTAAATAGAATTTTAATTGTATTTAAAAGTGTGTCTGATGATGATACCGCTGCTCTATTTTAGTGGGTTTATGCAATATGCACTCGCGTACACACAAACTCGTATTATTTTTGCAGAATCCGGCGACAGATTTGGAACTAAATCAGAATTTATGCTTTGTTTAAATGCTGTAAAAATGTCGCTGATTTCTATCGCATGACAATAATTATAACAACAACCGAGCTGAGTAATAATAACTGTCTATACGAAGCCAAGGCATTCGTGGATATACATATATATAAATCCACACATATGGAGAGGCAAACTGAACGCGTATTTAAACCAATTTTATGGAGCATTTAATTGTTGCTGCTTATGAACTGGCCCGAACAACAGCAAATAGCTGAAACCGCAGCATTAGACGTACAAGCTTAACAACCTCAGCGCCGAGCAAATTAAAAATGGTAACAAAAGGTTAACGTAAATTGTTAAAACTAAATTATACATATAAACAAAACATTTTTATGCGATTAAAATCGGAATTACACGCAACGTGCGTCAGCTTTTTATTTTTAAGGGGGGTTCAGGCGGAAAGGGGGCTTTCGTGGGAGGGGGCAGACATGGTCTGGTCGTCTCTACACATATCTATATGCCCCCTGCCTCTATTTATATATACCCCTTTTTATGTCTGCTTGACGGCTTCCAACTCGAGGCCTCATCGTCGAAGTCAGACGGACCCGGAAAAGCTGCGCACGTGCTGGAAAAGTCTGCATCAGAAGGAAAAATCAAACGCATAGAGCACATGTACATGTACACACGGTTTTCTTTGTGCTCGTTTAGGTTTTGTTGGGGTCATCTGGTGCAAGTAAAACCAAGATCGTCCAGCCATAAAAAAGGCTATCAGGTATACAATTTAAGTTCGGAATATTGGACGAAGAATGTCCATTTTTAGCAACAAATTAATGAAACCTTTTTTAAGATTTTAGCTTATTCTTACCAAAGGAAAATATAAATTAAAATCATCCCCACCCCATTATAAAATCTCAAATAAAAGAATTACTTATCTTTATGTGACACAATTAAAGCTTATCAATAACTTGGAATTTCATTTAATTTATACCCCAGCCATTCACCATTAAAATAGCCGTAAAACAGATTTTATTTATATTTACGTTTATATTTATATTTATTTTTTCTAGGTAGCCTTGGCTGGGCAGTATTTTTCGCCCAACAAAAGATACAAAAGAATCCATAATTTATTGCATTATAAGTATCTTTGTTTCACAGGCATATATCAATAAACTACGCTCCTCAGTGGTATCTCATCAATACGAAAACAAAAATCCTTATCAAAAATTGCCACTACCACCTGTATCTGCTACAACTTCCTCAACCAATTGGGGCTGATGTGGACTTATCATCTGGCGATTACCAGTTGAGTTTTCAGCACTTGACAGACAGACGTGACAATTCATCTATTTCGAGACCCATAAGTAGACATTACTGTGCGAATCTTCTCGCTGAAGACCCAAAAACCTATTGAGATTTCCCTAGCATTCCACTGTTTCCACAAAGAGTCTCAGGTGATTAACACTAGGCTAAATTTAAATCGTAGTTTAATTGGGCTAAGTTATAATCTAAGGAAAGTTTCAATTTAGTGGTGATAGGATTAAATAAATTATATTTTAATAATATCAGTTCTAAAACTTAAATTAAAAATACCTAGAATTTTTAAAATTTTCTGATGTTTTAACTTTTACTTAGTCTTTATAGTAATTCGAATTCTTTAAAAATTACTTTCAACCCCTTCTAGAGTAAAATACAATCTATATGGTGTGAGATGTTCAAAGTTTTGTATCATTGAAAATAGAAATCAACTTAAATTGGTTTGCAAACACACCCACAAAATTTTGTACCATCTGGTCATCTAGCAAGGAAATCAGATTAAATTGATAATGAACCAAAAGTTGACACTCTTTAAGGGGAATTAACCCCATTTCGAACTGCGATTGATCAAGTGCGTTTATTTAATCTGAGGACGCAGATGCACTGCCAATACCATCTAATCGAAGATCTTTCGGCAGCGACGGCTTATTTTCCTATCCATGGTGTTGTCCTTTGCTCTTTAGATTGTCTGCCAGATTGTTTGCGTTGTTGTTTGCGTTGTTCTGTCAGTGACACCAACACCAGAGTTCGTTGTTTGTTTTTCTTTTCTGTGTTTTGGTATTTTTTTTTGTATTTTTATTTTTATTTTGGTTGTTCTGTGGTTCGTCGCTCGTGTTTGGTGTTCGCACCGTTGGTTGATCTGATTTTGGTTACAGGTTTCTTATTTTGGCAGCCGCTCACTGTCTTCTGGGTTTCGGTTTCGGGTTGTATCTTTATCTCAAATTATGTATCTGTAACTATCAACAGCGCTATCTGTGGCCGCTGGTATTTACATACATAAACTGCTGCTTAGGTAGTCAGCCCAGGGGCTTTGACAAACGGTTTATTTTAGCCATAAGCTCGGCCAGATCTGGTTAGATTCGTATCGCGGCAATATGAACTTATGAAAGCGATCACAAAAAATATATTCAAAAATATTCATGTGGAATTAAGGCGGCCTGGGAAACTTTCAAGTTTGCAGCTGTCTTTCTTCGACTCCTCCCTTTCCTTAACCCCACGAGATAGCATCCTTTTTGCCAGTTCACAGGTGCGCCCCACTTAACCCTTTGGCGCCAAAAAGTTTCTTTTTAATGCGAAAATCAATGCGGGGGAAGTACACAGTCGAACTTCCTTAGCTGAAACCTCTAGTTCATTGATTAATTTATTACTAAAGTGACAAAAATGTTAAAAAAATTTAGAAGTATATAAATTTAAAATTCAATTTAAATTGTTTGTTTTGAAAAAACTTCTTTATAATAGAAAACTTTGTAACGCCCAGAATTCCTTTGAGGTTTTAAAATATATGTAGTCAAAAAACTGCTTTTTCCTAAAGCAATGACGTTCAATAGTATTTTAAAATAATTTTAACTCAGAACCATACTGAAAGTAGAACTTACTCACAATTAAAGTTTGGGAGACCTCAATTGCCAAAGTGTATAATACAAAATGGTCCTCATGAAAATGTGAGTTATAGAAGTTTGACTGTGGCAAGAACAGGCTCACGTATCTGAGACTTCCTCCTTGTTTCGCATTTGTGTGTGTGAGTGTGTGAACTGTTTATGCGCAGCAGATGTACAATACAAACGCGACCCCAAAGGAGCCAACTTGCCGCGAAAATATATGAGCTCCATATTAATAATTTGCATCTAGATACGGGCAACTATCTTTCGCAGTTCGCAGGAGATGCGGCGCGTAGTTCGTACTTCTCTTAATTTTCAGCTGCTAATTTATGCAAATTTGGGCTCTATGAGCGCTAGTCTATGGCCATCCCGCTCGCACACGCATAAGGCGGCAGAGCAGCAGGCGTATATAACTCAAAAATCGCCAGACAAATCTGCACACATGTTAAGGCCCATAAATAAAGCACATAATCGCAAACGGAACGATCGATGATTGTTGTCACTGCTTGACAGCGGGCGTGGGAAAGAGATGGGGATAGTGGAAAAGTGGACGGGGGGTGGGTGGAACAGAGAGCGGAGCGAACAGACAAGCACAACGCTGGATTGTCTGCCTATATGTATGTGTGTGCGTCAAGTGCAGAGAGGCGTGCCGCTGAGAGATTATTGAACGATGCACTCGAGCGGAGCAAACAAACAAGAACAACAAGGAATATGCAACTGCAACAACAACCGGTTACCTTACCTGCACACACACAAAAAAAACACGCCCCTCTCACTGAAGCGCAAGAGTGACAGGCATATTGTTCTGTTCACATACTATATATCTGCCTCCCTCTCTCTCCCAGAGAGCACTGCTTGACAGTGCGACCATCTTGTATGTGCCATCACACACACACGCGCACCCGTAGGCAGGGCCTCATGCAAACGGGTTTTCCGGTGCGCTTGTATTAGTCAAAGAGCAAGCCGCGCCAGTCTTTCCTGTTTTGCGCTCGTGTTCGTTCAGTTCGATTTCAACTGTTGACGTGTTTGCAAGCGTGTTATCGTCGTGCGTCCGCTCGTTCGTATTTTGCTATCGATTCTCGTCTCGTCGCGACAACAACAAAGAAAGCTCGAAAAACGCGTCGGCAAATTTACTAAAACATACAGAGCTCAATAAGTGTACCAAAAATACAAGAAAAGAAAAACCACAGAAAGAAAACCCAGTAAAAACAAGCAGTGTGATTGAAACAGTGTGCTAAAAATGTAAGATCAAAATGTGTGATCAACGATCATAGAGAAACAAAATAAGGAAAAAACAAAAAATCAAAAGTTTTTAACGCTAGCCACCGTGAAATTCATTATCCTTATCGAGCGATCAGCCTTTGGAGCCCCTAATATCAAAAAAAAAAAAAATTAAACAAGAAATAAAAAACAGAATTGCTGACACAAGCATTCGAAAAATCTGGCACTTGCGCTTATCAATTTATTGCTATCAACTAAAGCGCGCGGAGAACGAAGAAAAAACAAAAACAAGAAGACATTTAATGAAAAGTGTTTGCTTCTCTATTTCTTTTTTTCCACTTCACTTATCGCAGCGCTGCTTCTGCTGCCGATAGATAGATAAATTGATTGAGTTTTCGACTCAAAAGGCAAGGCAATGGTTATTTGCTTTTCTTCCACCTTCGGGAGGTAACAAATTATGTTGCCTTATCGCCGTTCTTTTCGTAGCGCAATTGTCAATTGAACGATAGGCATCTGGGCACCTTAAAGATACAGTCCACACAAGCTCGGGTCCAACTTGGTCTGTATTATTAATATTTTTTTGAAGCCAAAAGCAAACAAAGAAAGCAAACACAAAAAAACTCCCGTTGATAGTAATCATTTCGAAAAGAAATCAACGAGTGCAATGCACACAGCTCGCAGTACAAACATATATGCTATCTATTGCTGATAAGCCCAAAATTCCCCAAAAATTCGGCTACCTGTCTAAATCAATATGGGAGTGTTGTCTCTGCGATATGGCGATATATCTTGGGCAGTAAGAAACCCCACCGACAGACAGACAGACAGATGCCAGTTAGCAATTCAAGCTCTTCGATAAACCTTTAAATCGCGTCTAATTGGGCCCACACATCGGCACATGGAACACCTAGAAACACACACCTGCTCGTCAAGTATCTGTATCCCAGGCGCCTGCATTTGACATCCCGCAGATACGAAATCCCTTTTGTTCTGTGTTCTGTGTGTGTGTGTAAACATTGTGACAATGCAATTGTTAGGGCTACATGTTTATTAGATCCCCTGGGCGGGATCTCGGTCATCAATCAGCCGATGAATGCCAAAAATCACACTCTTTAGTTTTGCCAATTCCCACACTCACCACACTACGCAGCGAATCCAAAAGTCCAATCGTAAATCAACTCGTGGTTATCCTGTTTAACTATATAACTGTATAACTGTACCGCGCAGCCATAAAGCCATAAAAACAATTGAACAAAAAATGTAAAGCTCGCGATAAGGGAGAGTGAGTGATAACGCCGGGCTACCGTTAAAATCTTATCAACAGCAGACACCCAGTTGCACTTCAGTTGCTAAAGTTGTCGAATATTTCTTGTTGACTTCCACAGAAAGAGAGAGAGAGAGTTGTTTTGTGTTCTGAACTCAGAAAAATGCGTGGCTATTAAGGCACTCGACAAGCGGAAACACAGAGGCCCAATCCCGATTCCGAAACCGATTCCTCCTGCCCCCCGGTAGCACAGAAAAACATTCAAAATTATACTCGAAATGGATATGACCTCAACAGCGGAGGCTGCCGCTCGCAGCTGGTACGACAGTCCGCGCTTAGGGGGCGGCGGTGGCTCCTCCGGCGGCGGCGGCGGCGGCGGCAACGGGGGCGGCCTCTCGCCCCAAACGAACGGCCTTGGCAGCGCCGGCAGCAGCCTGGCCCACAGCCACCACAGCCTCTCCAGCGGCGCCAGCTCGGCGGGCAGCAGTGTGGGCGTGGGCGCAGCGCTGGGCGGCGGCGGCGGCTCCGGACTGGACACCAGCGACATGAGCGCCTTCTACGCGCTGGAGAGCAACGGACACCACCGGCGCTACTATCCCAGCTACCATCAGCACAGTAAGTATACTACTCGAACTTATATTTGAAATTTCCAAAGATCTCTTTAAACAGTTCAATTGGTACTTATTCTATTCAAATGTAAAACTTTGATTTTGAAAATGTACTGCCCAAAGATATTATTTAATATACTTCTATGTATGTTTTTAAATCCCAAGTGACTTTTATAGATCAAAACATTGCTGAAGACCTTTAACAAATTTGCATTGCATTTATCAATTGAAAATATTATATTTCAAAGTTATGGCAACATAGCATTATATTCAGAGAATATATATAGTTAATTTATTAAATTCTCAACAGAATTCATTGAGATAACACATTTAAAGTAAATGCAATATCTAATGACATGAAGAATTTCGTAAATTGGAAAAAATCTATGACTTGCAATTGGCTTGTTATTTATATTTATATTTACAATGACTTAATGTATCCTATTTATATCAAACTTAAAAGAACCCTAAGATGGACTAAATTTAATAAATTGTTTTTCATTTGTATTATTTTAAAATACTTTATGGATTAAATATTGTTTACAATTGAAAATGATTTAAAAGTAATACTACTGGCTTTAAAAAAAAAACTATTTCACAATTGTAAGTTGGTGTCATTAATAAAAGCAGTTTTTTTGTATATAGATTGTAGAAAGCCCTCAATATCGAATTATACCAAGTAAACTGAATCCAGATTTATGGAAATTTTCCAAATAAAAGCTTAACAAATTTTGTGGAAAGTACCAAAAAGCCCTAACCACCATTTCGATTTATTGTGTATTTAAGTAATTTCTTCCATTTTTTGTTTTTTTTTTTTTTTGGTATTTGGTTACCCCTTGGACATTTGTTCTAATGTCATTTCTAATGCGTTTTTAATGAATGTATTTTGGCGGGGGTTGCTTGATAGTTTGCCGCTCTGGTTGGTATTTTACGAAGTGCGTGGGTGTAGCCGCCACACCACCGCCCACCGCCCACCACCCAACGCCCACAAATCGATTGCTTCGCGCCTTTTTTGTGTTGCTGAGTGAGCGTTTCCTGTTGGCCGCCATCGAAATTGAGGAAATGGAATGGGTCGATAGAAATCGCCGTTGTCCTGCAGCTAGATTGTACCCCAGGAACCTGGAATTAAGGTTCTAGATAAGGACTCAAAGCAATGGGATTGAGGCGTGAAACAAGGGAACGAAAACATTAAATAATTTAGTGGAGAAATGCAATTGATTAAATAGGCATTAGGAACATAGATCATTTGAGTCAGTAAACTTTGTATTTGAAATTCATTATTCCGCAAATTTTTCTTTATTCCCCGAAAAACTTTGATGAGAACAAAACGAAAGTTACACAAATTTTCTTTGCTTTTATAACTCTATTATGGCCTACGATTTAAAGTTTTTCCCTGCCAACTGAGAACATAAATGTTGTATATTATTATTTCAGTGACTCCAAGTCACATTTCTCCTAATTGTCTGAAATTTGTTCCTAGGTCAAAAAGAAAATGATCTATGCTCATTAGGGCAGTAGCCTCCCCCCCAAAAAAAAACCACAAGCAGACGAAATTAATGTTTTTATTTTTTGCTCAGGTGTGTTTGTATGAGTGCTAGGTTCACACGCCTCCAAAAACCGAAAAAAAAATCCAGTTCCGCTAAGTTAATTTTCAATTTGAGCCACCGTTGGCTCTGCTTTCTGTTGCTGTATTGTGTTTTCTGCTTTCGGTATTCAGTTTTCAGTTTTCTGAGCTGCGACGACTGTGACTCTGCTGTCAGTTTTGACAGTTGATGCCCCAAGCCCAAGCCCAAACCCAAACCATTTTCACTTGGCACTTAGCCTGTTTGGGCCCATTGTTGGGCTTTGGTTTTGGTTTTTTTGCTGTTGTACTTTTTGGGCTTTATTTCGGTTTGCATTTTGACAGTTCCACGTAAACGCAGCCGCAGCCGAACGAACACCCAAACGTGACATGCATCAATGCAGTGGCAGCGACAGTGGCAGTGGCAGCGTGGTCGCTGAATTTATTTCCTGCTCCTCAAGTGTGCAAAATTTTAATTTAAAATCGCTGTGTGCCAGTGCCAGTGCCAGTGAATTCAGTGCCCAACAGTGCTGAATTCTGGAATGCTGCTGCTGCTGATGCAACTGCAAAGTGATCAATCAGATCGGAGAAGCTGGTTATCCGTTCCCTTTGCATTTATGTTTAATTCATGTTATTCATATGCCGACTTTATTGATGCTTGATTTGAGCCATCCAGCGATCCCCCAGCGATCGCCGCCGCCGTAATTCATTCATGCACTCTGCTCGGGGATTGGGATTCAAATCGAGAATCGTTTGACAGACAGTTTGTCTGGGGAGTGGATTGGAGTGGATTGGCATCCACATCCACATCAATAACGAAGGGGCACCTGTGGCGAGCGTTGATTTTAAAATTCATTAGTCTGCATATGTCACATCTCGGGGCGGCTTAAATCGGGGGGTTTTGCCTTTCCAAGCCAGTAAGTTGGCCAATTTAGTTGTCAATTATGAGTGGCTCGGCTCGAGTCGGTCGACTTTACTCGCTGTCATTAGTGGCAAATTAAGCAACTAGGGCGGCATCACTTTTTTTCGGTTTAGACATAGCCAAATGCAATTTTAATGGCCAACACACACACACACACACTCAAAAGAGAGCTCACATGCCAAGCTCGGAAATTTTTATGATAGCCACGGCCATAAAAACCAACGACAACAAATGTGAAATTTAAATTTCAAAAGCAAACATGCCGAAAATTTTGGCAATAACTTTTGTCTCTGCCCCGTGACTCGAGTTTCTGTGTATGTGTGTGTTTTTGTGTTTATCTGGGCTTTTGTTTTATTTTTCTACATTTTTTCATCTTGACTCCGCTTTTTTCACAAACATTTTCGATGAAAAATATATACACACACAAACTGTTGTTTTGGTCTCTATTTTTTTTTGTTTCGGTATTTCACTATTTGTCTTAGCCATGATTATACACTTGGGACAAAGGGGTATTTGGGTGATGGAAATAAAGAAGGTATTTTGATTATCATTTATCGGAATATTTTGTCAGGAATTTAAGATAAATATTATAAAATGTGAGGACCATTAAGATAATCTGCTTTTAATTAACGTTTTAACACCATGTGTTTTAGAGGTTGGAAAATATTAATTCCTAGGAATATTCAAAAAATAAATCATAAAAAACTAATTTAAGAAATATCATTAAAATAAAGCCTTAAAATTAGAGCATCAAAAATTCGATATGTCATTAGATGTCTACTACTTTTTTTTTTGCTGTCTCTTGACTCCGACGGCTGTTAAAGCTCGAGCATAAAATTTATTTTTAATTACCCCAGCCGAACGTTTGAATTTTTGCCTGCAATTCGAACTGCCCGAATATGTATAGCCATTGCACTCGCACTGCGCAACGTGTGCGAACGAGAGAGGTTGCGATAGAGAGAGAGAGAGAGATATATAGATGCCCCGATAGAGATAGCGATATCTGCGGTCCAAGTTTTTCGACAATATTTTTGTGTGCGAGTCGTGCATTTTCATTTGTTGTTGGCGAACTTTTTCGCCTTATCGTCTGGGTAAAATCGGGCAAATGAAAAGTTTTTGCTGGCTTCTGTTCATAATTCCGTTGGCCCAAAGTTCCCACAGCCACTTAACGCAAATGTCACGCACAGTGGGCAGTGCACTTACAAAGGATATCAAATGCGATGCGGGCCCATTGAGTGCGCACTTTTGTTCCTGTTCCTATTTTTTTTTTTTGTATTTGCCAGTCAACTCAAGCTCAAATTCAAACTTAAACTCGAAACTAGCCTGCTACCAGGTGTTGCACTTGAAGCGCTGGCCACTCATAAATTTTCATGTGGCCAGAATGGCCAGAAATGCCCGAAAGCGCATAAACTGAGTTTTCCAAGAAACTGTGGCCTGGACTTTTGTGGGGCTGGGCCCGTAATAGTTGTTGTAATTTACCGACTGCAACCACGAGGCTTATGGATATACCTATGTTATAGCGAATATAGCGTGCCTGGCCAGAATCTCGGCGGCAAATCTTAATCCCGGTGCGCAGGTTTTCAGCGAATTGTGTGCGAGTGGATGGCCTATAAAAGTGAGTTATGGTATTGCAATTGAACAGCTGGGCCACCGCTGCGTATGATTGATGTGCAGTTTTTGGGTGGCAGTTGCTCCCGCATTTCCCTCCCTCACCGCCGCTGCCGCCGCCGCCGTCGATGCCCTTTTTTTCTATTTAATTCGCCTTGATTAAAGTGTCTTGCCAAATCATGCCACATTAATTATGACCCAAATTCCTGGAAGCATTCCTTACATCGTACGATCCATTGAGCGGCAAAGTTGAAGCGCTGTTTTGCGTTATTATATTGCCCGTTGCATTGACAGTGGCCGGTCATTCATTCCACCGCACATGTTGCTGCTGTGCTGTTGCTGTTGCTGTTGCTGCTGTACTGCTGCTGCTGCTTTACTGCTGTTGCTGCTGGCGCGATGTTTTAATTAGTCGTGGCACAGCAAACTGTCTTTGCTTAATTAAATGACATAATTATAAGAATGTGCTGGGGCTGGCAGGCTGAACCCAGCCAGCCTACGCCAAAATGCCACATGCAACACGTGATGTTGCTGTCGTTGACATTGCCTTGCGATGCTTCAATTAATTTGCACTCCAGCAACAGTTGTTGCTGTTCTGCTCTCTGGCTGTTTTGCATGCCGCAGAGCCAAAGGTGCCGCCACATTGTCCATTGTCCGTTGCAGCAGTAACAGCAACAGCCACAGCAACAGCTACAACGAGCAACTGCAGCAGCAATAGCAACAGCAACGGCAACAGCAACATTCCCATTGGCAACACGTTTCGCATTCTAATTTGACGTTCGCCGGACGGCGGCTAGTTTGCCTAGTGTGAACAGCTGTCCTTCAATCACTATCAATGTCGCCTGATGTTGCTGTGTTGCCGTTGCCGTGTTGCTGTTGCTGTTTCTGCTGCTGCTGCATCAATCTGGCCAAGATGGCG